ATGGGCTCTTGTGGTTTTCTAGTAAACGTGAAAAGAAGTGAGGTAGTTGCAGCAGCTTCAGTGCAAAAGCACTGGTTGCCCATGTCAAACCTAGATTTGCTCCTACCTGCTCTGGATGTAGGAGTTTTCTTCTGTTACAAGAAAAACAATGATACTACTAGTATCCCTGAGAAAAACCTCACGAATACTCTTACCGAAAACATGGTTGCTACCGTCAAGAAAGCTCTTGCTCAAGCACTTGTTTCCTTCTATCCTTTTGCTGGAGAAGTTGTCCAAAACCGCCTTGGAGAACCTGAGCTTCTTTGTAACAATCGTGGGGTTGATTTTCTCGATGCTTTTGCTGATATTGAGCTAAAAGATCTTGATCTCTATCATCCTGACACCTCCATTCATGGAAAATTTGTCCCATTTAAAAATCAAGGAGTGCTTTCTATTCAAGTAATAATGTTTGAAATTCTTCATCTATATATAGTTTCCTCTCTCCAAATCCAATTCCCCGTTCCCCAGCCAACAGCCCCCCTCCCCTTATTTTACTTCTCTTGTTTTATTTAACATTTTTTGCAGCAACCCTCCCTCCTGGACCGGTGAACCCCGAGCCCGTACATTCATCTCCATCACCACCACCTCCGGTATACTACCAGCCACCTCCACCGGTAGAGACCCCACCTCCTACTTATCAACCTAAAGCACCTCCTCCACCGCCAGTTTACACTCCAGCACCAACTTATCATGCTCCGCCGCCCCCACCTCCTACTTATCAGCCTAAATCACCTCCTCCGCCGGTTTACACTCCAACACCAACTTATCAAGCCCCGCCGCCTCCACCACCACCACCTGTTTATGTAACATCTCCTCCTCCTCCTCCACCTGAACATAAACCGCCAACTACTCCAGCTCCTTCACCAGGAGCGTATGCACCAAACCCATCGCATCCTCTTCCACCACCACCGCCACCCTACAAATGTAATGAACCACCACCACCACCACCACCTGAATGTAACGAACCTGTCCCACCACCACCACCACCTATTGAACATCATTGGCAGTCACCTCCATCTCCTCCACCACCCAGTACTCCATATCACTACACCTCCCCACCACCACCATCACCATCGCCACCTCCTCCATATGTATATAAATCACCGCCACCTCCATCACCATCGCCACCGCCTCCATACATTTATTCGTCCCCACCGCCGCCATCACCATCCCCACCTCCACCATACGTGCATCCATCACCGCCGCCACCCGAGATGAACGTTCCCCTTCCTCCAATAACAGGAGTCTCTTATGCATCACCGCCACCACCTACAATTCCATACTATTGAACCCTTCTCAAGGTATAATAATCTCCACATCTCCATCCTAGTATCAATACATACTCTTGCCAGAAAAGAAACATCAATTTTGTGCATATAAATTTACTAATAACATATATTCTCTTCGCTGGCCCTTTTTTTTTTTTTGCAGTGAGAGGATTTGGATGGGGATTCATTTGCATGCATGCAAATAGCAAAGTTACAAAGGAGGGCTCAAAGTGGTTGAATTTTGGGTTTGACTTTTGAGAGGCTGCTTTCTAGTTTTGAGCAATAATTTTTATATTAGAGATAAAAGTAGTCTCATATGAATTTTTTTGGGCTATTATTATTATTATTTTTTGTTTTCATTTCTTTGGGGGCCTAATCAAAATTGATTAGGGTAAAAAAAAAAAAAAACTCATTTTTGAGTTTCTTGTGTTGTGTCAAAACAACCCAAGGGGAGAGAGGGGGGGGTGGGGTTAACATTTGTATTATTTGTTATACATATGTTTATTGTGTATAATTGAAATTTATTTACTATATCCATGAATTGATTCATGATCAAGTGAGTTTACGTTGTTCAAAAATTATAGTACGTCAGAATTAGAAATCTCCGTGAACAAATTTTTCAATCATAAAATTATTATATATTACATTCCTTAATAAAAACAAATTTTGTGATCACTTTCTTATGTAACAAAGATGTTTATAAAAAAATTAGTAGGACCATCGTTTTAGTGGTTCTTGTCTCTAATTTGATTCGTTCAACCTGGAGTGGAAAGATTCCTGGGTGATGGTGATAGTGAAACGCGAAAATACAGAGTCAAACGGGCAACTCGGTCGTCGGCCGCCGTCACAGCCAAATCGGTTCGCTTCTGAAACTTCCTGGAAATGGCTTGTATACAATCAAACTCCATTCTGAAACTTCCAATCCTACCAACCTGTAAGTAGGCATGATTGTTGGCGAACAGTGCAACGGATCCCTTCGCTACGATATTGGGACAGAATCCCTCCAGGATGAAATGACACCGAAATACTTGATTTGTCGATAATTCGGCCGAATCACTGAGAACTCATTTGACGGAATGACACCGAAATACTTGATTTGTCGATAATTCGACCGAGTCACTAAAAACTCATCGAAGAAGTTTTCGATACGGATAGTCTCGATCGAGTCTACCCGAATCATCTGGAGTCAACTCGTAAATTTATATTTTATAGATTTTCTTTTGCTAATTTTTTTAATTATTTTTGTTTAACATACTTTTTGATATTATTCATAACTTTTAAAATATTAAATGCTTCAAAATTTGCATCTCGACGAGATTGTAATCGATGTGCCGACATCAATATGAAACGGTCCTGACCGCGACTGCGACTTTGAACCATGTTTGAGAGTTAGAATCATAGGGTTGGAGAGGACAGTAGACACTTTATTCAGCCTATTCTTTTTGGCTGATGTCTTGATAAATAGTTTATGTTCTATGAAGACAAAAAAAGAGCAAAATGGGGTTTCTTTCCTAGAAATAACTGCAAGTCATTACCCTCTAATTCATATATATACAAGTGCAAACTGCAAGTTTCACCTCAAACAATCAACAAATTTACATCCAAAAAACAGGATAAGGCAGCAAAAATGCCACCCTAGAAAGAAGTATGCACTTGTGCAATAACACAATACTAAGTGAAAACTGCCTGTTTGACTCACCTTCTATTATGTACTATCTATGCAAACAATGAAATATCCCTCAACCCTAACATCTCAATCAAAATGGTTTACTGAAATGGAAAGAACCTAACAACGCAACAACACGCAGCGATTTGAGTAGTTGCTAAAAGATCCTGCCCGGTCTCTTAGCTTTCATCCAAAGCGAATTACAATGCATGAAATGTCATCTTTACTCTTTCTTGCTAATGCCTCCATGGTCAAACGCTTAGCAGCTGCTTGAGGATCCTTGATGGATTTCACCAGATCCACTGCCTCTTGATTCTTCATGACCTGCAATGCCATTTGCTTCTTCAAATTGTAGATTTCAACAACATTCTTTGGGTGAATTATCCATGTTCTAGAAGTTCAAAATGTACGCATAAACGCTCATTCAATTCAAGAAGTTAAAATCTGTAAACTATCGCAAAGTACTGAAAGTTATGAAACTGATTCTAGGAATAAGACAACAAAAGGTATGCTCTAGAGTAAACTGCTTGATGAGGCCTATATAGATGACTAAATAACCATATCGTATTCCCCCACCCCCCCAAAAAAAAAAAAGAAAAAAAACCATCTCATATCCAACATGTAAGATTTATATAAAGTGCACAAAGAACCACCCTGTATTTATGTCCTGATCTCCATTCATTAGATGCTCTAGTTGAGGATTAACACCTTAAGGATGAAGATAGATTAGATGCTTGTGCTACTTGTACAACTTTCTTTAAAGCCTTCAACTTCATCAAAACATAGTGATTTTTGTAGATGAAAATTACTTCCCTTTGTTATGATCTTCATTTATTTCAATCAAAGATTCCTAGAGGATTTAAAAGGTTGATCAAAATAAGCGTTTTAAACCAATGCTTTCATTAATCGAGACCAGCATAAAACAAACACCAAAACCAAGCCAAATCACAACCATTCACAATCTATACATGAACTTTTAGCCTTAAAAACTACAATTTCTACTTGAGCTTCTTAAGGATGTTTTCATCAGACCTTCCATCCAAAGGGAGAAAGATGAAAAATTCAAACAGAAGACACAAATATGCTTAAAGTTCTGAATAGTGTTTAGAAAACCAACCTTCCATAAGCCATCACTTGCCAATATGACAAACTCTATTGTGCTATCAATAGGAACATGTCGTATATCTGGTTCAGAACTCAAATGAGCTTTCAAATTTTGATCTCCAAAAGCACGTGCAACTGCAAGTTGGCCATTCACTCGAGGCACATCTCCTAAAACAAGAATTTTTAAGTTGCTACTGGCTGGAGAAAGTACGGTAAAGAAGCATACTTTTACATCATTTTTATGCAAAGTTACCAGGAAGAGTAGTCACGAAGCCACCCTTCTTCTCAATCCTTCTTCGTTCACTATGTGGCTCATGGTCAACAGTAATTTGATTGGCAGCACCTCTCTCGCACACAACAGCTCTTGAATCTCCTACATTTGCTATCCATAAATCTTTTCCATCAATGACAATAGCCGTCACTGCTGTTGAGCCACCAGGGCCAAATTGTCTGGTATTCTCCAATATAAGGTCATCAGTGGAGCGATAAGCATTTTTAATAGCAAGCTCAGGGTAATCCCAAAAGTTAGGCTGTCCAAAAACAACAAACAAGGAACCGAAGTTGATTCCCAAAGTTAGGTTCTTCAAAAGTTAGAGTGAAGTTTTGGCTTAGCATGTGATCAGTATAATGTTGGAAAACGTATCATGTACACCTTGAGTTAGTTAATGCATAACTTCACAAAGAAGAGATGATTCCAAACTATAATTAACGAAGTAAAAGGATAGGAAAAATCTAAAATGCACATAATCGCATTCATATGTGCAAGGACAGATTCATACCTGTTCAAGTATGTTATTGAAGAGATTATCTTTCAAATAACTAGGGACACGATCACCAAGATGCCCATCAAAGATTGCAAAGAGTCCGAGTACATGACCACCCCTTTTCCTGTATTCAGCAACATGGTAATCTTCCATGGAGTGTCCTGATTGTCCTTCAACCAAGTGGAACCCATGAGCTAGCTTACAATTGCTGCCTGATACCTTGCTTTTTCCCTTTCCCGTGTCTGGCGGAGAAAAATCGAGACAAGCAGCTTTCTACAGTACCCACAAAAAACGTAGAAAACTAGTCATCAGATAACAATTCTAAACCATAAATTTCAACAACCAATTCAAGCATGTAGGTAACATTAATTTGTATCTAGCAACACCAAGGGAAACAAACAAGCATACAGCAGTCAAACTAGAAATCTATGTACCATGATACCAGTTTCCTAAGCATGCCCATATCAAACAATATCCACATGCACCATATAGTGAAAGATGATAATATTATTATATGACAAAAAAAATTGTACTAAAACTACAATAACAAGAAATAAATCAAGAAAATATGAGCATAATCAAATTTGAGTACTAAACAAGGAAAGAAAGAAAGGGCGCCTTGATCTTAGTCAGAAGACCACCGCCAGGTCCGCCACTACTGCCAGCCTCCATGAATGAAATTGATTCTCAGCTGCTTATTAAAAACTTTTTCCTCCTCCAATTAATGGCTCCAAGGCTTCATAAGAGAAAGAACTCTGTTTGCTGGTTGAACCCAAGTTCTTGATGGTTGATCAAATAGCCGTAAGTCTGATTGAAAAGCAGAAAATTGAAGTATTTGAATTCGATTCTCCTGTGTGAAAGTAACAGAAAAAATTTTTAGGTGGAAAACGTGTTGATTCTTGGTGGGTTTCTTTTTCTGGCGAGATTGGAGAAATGGAGAAAGTCTTCCAATGGGAAAAACGGAGGGCGTTTACTGCGGGCGTTTTTGTGCGTATTTTTTCAAATGAAGTGACGACGAAATTTCCTTTTAGATTAAATGTAATTAAGACAAATCCGTTCTTCAAGTTTTGATTGACTAACACGGAAATTTAGATGGAACCGGGACGGTTGAGACTTGCAAATTCTTTAAAATATCATATGGAAATGGTACCCAACTCAAAATTTGGATATTTCACCTCCAAGGTTCTGAAAAGATCCTTAATGTTTACTGTGTATGCCAAATTGGCCCCTCTATATTTAGACGAAAATAAATGTTCACAAAGTTTCTAATTTTGAGCGGATTTAGATTGCAATTTTCTGGAATTTTTGTAGAAAATGTACCGTGGCGATTTAATATATATGAGGTAAAAAAATAATTGAGAAATGTGTTCACGAGGTTCACAAATTGGCCCCTCCAAAGTCCTGAAAAGATCATTAATGTTTAGTGCGTGCGCCAAATTGGTCCCTTTATATTTAGACGAAAGTAAATGTTCACAAAGTTTCTAATTTTGAGCAGATTGATTGCAATTTTCTGGAGTTTTTGTAGAAAATGTATCGTAGCGATTTGATAAATGTGAGGTAAAAAAATGAATGAGAAATGTGTTCACGAAAAACATAGAAATTTTTTTGAACAAGGCCATTTTGAGAAGATTTAGGACAATTGACCTGCACGGTCAAAATCAAATTTTCTTTAGAACAACTATTTTAACTTTGAATTATTAGTCTCCAATGCTTGGAGTTTGAATCATTGTAATCCCTTACTTAAATTTCAAATAGTGATATTGACGGTTTCACGATGGAATCAAAATACGAATTGGTTTACAATTTTGTTACTTATATGTACAAGAATGTCTAATACTAAAAAGCATGGAAAAGCTAAACAAACTTTCCTTCTTCTTTTTTATTTATTTATTTATTTCATTTATTCATGCCACTAATTCCTAATGTGTTCCTTCTCTTTTGCGTAGTTAGTATGAAATTTGGCACAATACATCTAATCATATCTGTAATTAATTGGTATTGGGTCTTTATCATTT